CAAGGCACTCGAACCAGCAGCCATTTTGTTTCTTTGTCAACGCAGGCCAGCTGTTTGTTTGTTTGTTTGTTAGTTTGTTTCTCTCCTTGTTTGCTTCATTCAAAATGTTCAGCCCTTGACTCTCGAATGAGGAGTCATCATTGATGTTTCAGAAACACAGTTAATCAAGAATACATCTCAGTGTCATGAGGCAAGCACGCGTCCAGAGAAAGAGAAAAAGTTGTATGAAAGATAAAAAGCCGGGGAATTGTCTTCTGATGTTTCTTTTTTGAGAGTCGAGGATTTTCCATTGTCAGTTTTCTGCAAAGATAAGAAACCAAAGATGAGAACATTGATAGGATAACACTTTTAATATTTGTGTGTCAGTCTGAAGCATATTTGTTTCAAAAACAACTCTGATATGTTAAGGTTATAAAATGTGTAAAAGCAAACAAACACTTTGGTTTCGTGCAAAGCGGAAAAGTCCCTACAGCTCCTTTGACTTCTCTTCTCTTGCTTTAACAAGCAAACATTTCATCTGGAGCATTTTCTGTTCACCCTAATTACAGTGTGCCTTTCCGTGCTTCAAGAAAGACACACAGAGAGAAGAAGAAGAAATCAGTAAGACAGAGTTAGACGTATGTTTGTGGGTGTCAGCCCATCACATGACTTTCATTATGCCATAAACACGCCAATGTGTAAATTGACAAACAAAAGCTTGTCTTTGTGCCCGGCGACCTCTAATCTGTTGTTCACATTTGTTCTATTCTTCTTTTTATCTCACATTGTCTGAGTTTTAAGGTTACAGAATGGAGGATATTTAAATATATAAATATAGGTAATTCAGAAAAAAAATGTGTTTATTAAGAATTCATATAATTAGTATTTATCTCTCTTTACCCTAGTTTTCATTGGTAGTGGCAGACTCCGCCACTGTTGCACTGGATATAAGCAAGAGAGATCCACTGGATATAATTGTTAAAGAAAACCCCTTAAAATGTGTTTCTGGAGTTTTTTTTGGAATGGCATTCTTTATTTCAAGATTTTGCACTTTTCTGTGACTCGAAGATACTTTTATTAATGACAATGGATGACAGACCCTGATGCATTTTTCACTCAAGTTATGTGCCGTTTTGTCGCCTACGTGTCAAACCAGAAGTCATTCCTCCATGGCTCTCTATCCCTGCATCTGTCTGAGCGAGGCCCACACACACACAACTGCAACAGCACATTATGCATGCAGCAGTTAAATACAAATACACTCATATACACGCACACACACACACATGCACACACAACAACAACCCTCCCACCTGCGCTCGCCTCACAGTCTCTAAAAATAAAGAAGAGTATCAGAAGCCACAACTTTTGGATGAACATTTTTTTAAACGCATTCGAGCCGCAGAGGACTTTACATCTGGTCCTGGATCAGTCCAAAGTAAAAGCCAGAGATTTAATATGCACAGCAGAGCACCAACAGCTGGTCAGTGCAAACTGTACAAAAAAAAGCACACACATTCACACACATGAACGCAGCAGAGCCAGGAGTTCCGGCAGAGGAAAGAGCAGTGACAGGCATTTTGATTATAGTATAAACAAAATGGAGAGTATTGTTTTTTTCCAACTCAAACGGAAACATCTCTCATTTTGAGCCAGACACCCACACGTCCTAAAATCAAATCATCAAAATGTAGTCAACTGTCCGCTGTGTGATCATATTTGTGAAGGTGTGTATGTGTCTGTGTGCTAGGCTATAGGCTATAGGCTATAGGCGATAAGCTATCAAGGAAAAGGGATCTCTGCCAGTAAAAGTACAACAAAATATTAGAAATACTTGAATATTCAGTGAGTCTAATGGTATATAAACAACTTTCTAGTTTTTTTCTTAGTGGAAGAATACTTTAGATGAATAAATTACAGAAACACTGTTAAAACAAAATGCTACACAAAATACAGCCTCCGATCACTTCTTCTTACACTTAATGAAACTGCTAAACGCTTTTTAACCGCAATATATTGTCATTTATTCCTTTTATTTTTGTCCGCTCCCTGAAAACCATCTGCCATTCTGTAGAGGAGATGTGGATTAAGATTTTTAAGTTTTCAGAAAACTTAAAAGAGTCTTTATCTAATATTTTGTTGACACCCTTGATATGTTGGACCTTCTGTGGGTTTTCAAATAATGGATTGATATACATGTAATTTAACGCATGTGTACACACTGTTTTAAATGACATGCATCATGCACACACACCTTTGATGTTTCACGGACTCTTTCTAACCTCATCGTCTTTCCTAAACTTAGACGTTCAGGTCAGTTTCAGGCCTTACATTTGTAGCACTTTCTGCGGCGGCCCCTGCAGAGCTGATGATAACAGGCAGAGCCGGCAAAGTGGTAGGTAATAACTACCGCGTTGTGTTCAAGGACACACTCAGCTACCACGTGCAGAGGCCTTGGCATTCCATCCACAGCACTGAGTGGAGCCCTGGACGTCTGCTGCTGAGGCCACTAGAGGTTTAATAATAACGCGAGTGGAACACCTGCAGTGTGCACATGGCCGGAGGCTGCTTGTGTGTGTGTGTGTGTGTGTGTGTGTGTGTGTGTGTGTGTGTGTGTGTGTGTGTGTGTGTGTGTGTGTGTGTGTGTGTGTGTGTGTGTGTGTGTGTGTGTGTGTGTGTGTGTGTGTGTGTGTGTGTGTGTGTGTGTGTCTGGACGTGCATGCATTAGGGCGTGTGTACGCACTTATATCCCGCGGCAACCAGCCTTTTTTAACAAAGCTGTGATCATAGGAATCCCTTTGAGGTTCAGCCTAAACAGCAGGTGCACCCTCATTTCCTCCACACACACATAAACACACACACACATAAACCACTTTCCAGTCCTCCTAAAGATACTGCCCGCTCCCAAATGTGACCCCCACCTGTTGTCCTTTTACAAGGTTGTCACTTCTCTCCTTGATCTCACAGTTCCATAACTTCTCTCCACATGCAAAGCAATGCTTCCTAAATAAATACAGGAACAACAAGTCTTCTTCAGAGCCTCTTTTCTGAGGACACCTTTTACAAGTACTTTAGACATATAATAACACATCGAGGCTTGCCAATAACATCATCTCTGACCCGACCATGTCCTGAGCGCCTCTTATCGTTTTCCAACTTAGTTTAGATTTAACCACGGCCACTTCTGCATTAACGTAGCTCTGCGTGACTGCAGAGAGAACGTCATCATCCCCATGGTAACGCTGAGGTAATATCACGTCTTCTCTAGCTTGGTAAAAAAACTATAAGGGCTGTTTATCAGTCAGTTCAAGTGAAAAATGTTACAGCGGTCTGCAGCAAGAGGAATATTTGTTATCCTAAATAAAGTACATTTACTCAAATACTGTACTCGTGTTCAAAAACGTGACAAAACAAAAAATTTGCTATTAAGCTACATGCCGGCTTTGGTTTCCAGTTTATTATTTTGATATCCTTGGTGAATTAAAATTCAAAATAAAACACATTAACTCAACTATGCATAACTTTGATGTTCTTTCATATCAAAGGTGAGGTAAGTTTGAGAAACCGGCTGGAGATACACTTTTTGTTATATTCCATGGAATGCTCTTAACATCCCGATAGCAATGAATATCTGAAGTGCTTTGACAAAAAATCCATAAAAAGACGTCATCTGTGGAAGCCGTAGCGCTGTAAAAAGCACGACCAATCATCTGAGCCGGCCCGGCTAAAATAACTGGATGGCCTACCTGCCTGTCAGCCTTCCATCTGTGCACAAACTTATCTCGTGCCCTCATTGGTCATGTGTGCGTTCGTGTGTGTTGGAGGAGGGGCTCTGTAAGGGAGTGGCAGATTTTTTCCGGTTGTGTATTTTCAAATTCTAGCGCACTCGAGCTGGTTTCTCCAAAATTACCTACCCAACCTTTAAGAAAGCGCTATTTTTATCTNGTGCCATGTACTCTAACCTGCAGGAAGCAAGGGGAGAGAACAGAGGGGCAGAGGGAAGAGAAAGATTAATGGCCTTGGTATTCGCTCAGTGTGTGTCTGAATGTTTCATATGAGGCTTGATTCACTTATAGTAGGGACCACAGTGTCTAGCGACTGCATTAATAAAAAAGCAGTTCCTTGGTGTTGATCCACCAGTTGTAAGCGGTTTGATCTGAATATAAGCATTGCCTGTCACATAAACAGTCTGGTCTAATATCCTTGTTGATAATTTCCAGAACTCAAATGCAATTCCGTTCTCCTCAGGGCTCTCACAGGCTCCTGCGAACACCACAGTTAAACCAATCGGTGTTTTCAAATGTGTTCATCTATGAGTGTGTGTGTGTGTGTGTGTGGGTGTGTGTTCTGGCTATGCATGGAAATAACATATATTTCACCCCGGGCCTAAATTATGGNTAACAACGCTATAGTAATATCATGTTGTAGATAAAAATAGCGCTTTCTTAAAGGTTGGGTAGGTAATTTTGGAGAAACCAGCTCGAGTGCGCTAGAATTTGAAAAAATTCTAGCGCACTCGAGCTGGTTTCTCCAAAATTACCTACCCAACCTTTAAGAAAGCGCTATTTTTATCTACAACATGATATTACTATAGCGTTGTTAACATGGGGACGCCGACTTTCCCTTTATACGTCCACGACGCAGTGCTACGTTAATTCGGAAGTGGTCATGGTTAAATCTAAACTTGTAGACAATAGTTCTCTTTAAACATCCATGGGACATATTGGGTCCCCTAAGTATTAAGACTGAAGCACTCTTTAAGGCTCCATTCAAACCTATAATTAAATACAGGGTTTAATCCCAGGTCAAATATACAATCAAATATTTCTCTAGTCTACAGTAGGTCTTGAAATATTGTCGTCAGTGATTGGGATGATATTTTATTGTCCTACACATTTGTCCTCATTGATGTTGAAAATGGAGCTGCTGGGATGCTAGAATAATACCTGACTTGATCTGACGATATCATGGTATAATAAAAATGTTCTTCTTCTTATCCGACCTCCCCCCCCCCCCCCAGCTGTATGCTGCGGTCCCCGACAGCCTCCGGCAGCTCTGAGAGCCCGGAGGAGCCGCCTGCTCCGGAGCCGAGGGCCGACCCCAGCGGAGACACTCGGGACACTGGAGCCTCGTCTGAAAACCCCCCGCCTGCTAAACCTGCCAGGTCTGACCCGGGAACAATGCCTAAGTGGCTCAAGCTTCCAGGTGAGAGATGTACAGCACACGCACTAGGTCACTCCCACAATCATTTCCTTCACATCTGCAGTTTGGTTTTTTTGGTCAGTCCCAAAGAAGACATCAATACAATGGGTCTCATTCACCAATATTTTTTCTGCCTTTTTCTAAAAATGTGTTCACCATAAAGGTCCTAAGAAATGTCACATTCTTGGCGTGTTCTTAAACCACACTATTGTTTGTACCCTTGTACAGAAATAGCAGGTTATAGCCTCGCAACTCCACATGAAAGGGCATGAGACTGCAGGGCTGAGGGCTGAAAAGTTGGGAAAATAAAGTAGAAAAATGCATAAACAAAAAGTGTGAAGCACAGGACTTCAAAAGATTAAAAGAATACTTAAATAGTTCTGAAGCGAAGTTACTTTGTCCTAAAGTGAACGCCAAGCGAGCTGCTGTCTTAGCGGTATTGAACTCGTAGTGTTGAAGTACAGTCCGATTCATGCTAAAACATTAAAGTAATTATTTGTAAAATAAGGATAAAAATGCAATTGTAATTTCAATACAGTAATAGGTCAAAGAGAATAAATAATAATGGCAATAACCAATCGTTTTTTATGCAGTCATGTCAGCTCTCATGTGAGTGAGCTTAGATTCTGTTACCTATGAATATCCTCTTCTTTGGGAGGGTTTGAGTAATATTCTCAGGCTTTCTTTTTGAACATTTCATCATGACATGCTGTGTCAAATGTGGCTCTTTGGAAGGGTCCCGTTGTGCAGAATACGTGGGAAATGTTTTTCGCTCTTCAGGAATTTATTTCCACCGTAGCAGCAGAACATGTTACACAATCCATCGAGAACTACTCAAAGTCATAAATACTGAGATGACTTAACCACAAGTCAATGTACAGACTTATAAACACTTGCTAGCCGGACAACACTTTATTCCTCAAACATCCCATATTGCTTTTGTTGTTTGTATATAAATGTTTTGTCCTTACATATAATAAGAACCCCCTTTTTTAAAACATATTTTCCAGGAAATGATCAAAAAGTTGCTTTTATTGTAGTTCAGAGTGCATAATCTCATTCCAGAGTCCATCTTGGAGACGCAACGCTCCAGGTGGTCTCGGTCTGGTTAATTTCTCTGCAACAAAGTTCTGTTGAAAGCCTTCACGCATCCCAAACAAAGTCTCTTTACACCCCCAAAACAGCCCCTCCAGCCATTCTTCTCCTGAGAGATCACATCCTTTTTTATCTGTCACGAAAGAACAGAAGGGAACACACACAAACCCCAAAACCACAGTCAAAAGGAAGCAGCCTTTTTCTAAGCAGAATTCCTCATGACTCAGAAGATAAGGATGCATTTGAGGGTGAACCAATTTGTTCGGGATGGTCCCTCCCCACCCCCCCTTCAGACCACTTCAGACACTTGATGCCCAGAGAGAGAGCCTGCTGCTGGGCCACATCACACAGCAGGAGCCCCTGTTGTGCGTCCCAGCACAGATCTCTTCTGTTGTTCTGTTGTGGTGTTTTGATGTTTTGATTAAGAATAATGCTGCCCTTTATTTGCTCTCTTATGTGCACATTTAGTTTCAGGCTGATCTCTGTGTGTTTCCATGTGCGTCTTTAAAGACAGTTGTGGCTGCTTTCTCTTTCATGAGGAAAGTTAAAAGAAAAAGGGGAGGGGATCTGGATCGGGAATGATGGGCTCCATATGTGGAACCCCACGGTTTAAAGGACACTTAAACACACACAGACTCTCCTCAAACTGTTTGTCCATCATTCAAAATGTTTGGTAGTTAATTCAGATTACTACATTTACAGAGTATTGGCACAGATTGAGATTAAACCTGACACATCCAATCTTCAGCCGTCTCGAGACTTCCTGCATCATGCAATTCATATTTAGTTCATCACACTTCACATGTCGTATTGGGTATTTGGAAATCTGTATGATACGGTACTTGTATTTATTACAATTTCAATGCACATCCAGTGGCAGCATTCCAAATTCAGAAGTGGTTATCCAAGTCATCAAATCACTTTTCAATAGTTGAACATTTGGAAAAATTGCTTTCATGCTGAGTCCCATGGAAAGATGCTAATAACACTATATCATGTTTTAATATCGTTTAAACCAATTCAATCTCACCTAGAACAACTAAATGTTGTATTGTACAATTAAATTCTTCTTTGTTGAAAATAATGAAATGTTTTGGTTGAGAATTTAAAAGCTTTTCCAGTGCTTTTGTTCAACTGTACTGTAGAGCTATAGTGTAGTCTACTAACTAATTGAATAAATGATTGATCAATGGTTAAATAATCACCACCTGATTATCCATTCATCATGAGAGTAATTTTCAGCCTCTAAAATATGGATTCCTTCTCTGTTCGTCAAGTGTATTTCATATTAAAATGAACATCTCTGGGTTTAGGATTGACAAAACATTTAAGACATCTTTATTTTAAAGACACCTTGTCACTTTTTTTTTTAAATGACCATTTCTACAAATTTTGTTGTAGAATCTAATCCGATTATGAAAATGACAGCAAGGTACTGTGCTGTGTTGGCATGTTTTGTTTTTTTGACTTGCAGAGCTCTTGATCACGGTCTCCTTGTTCCCTGCACAGGTAAGAAATGAGACGGCTGCTGTGTGTTGAAGGAGGACGTCTCTGGAGCTGCGTGCAGACTGAAGAGAGCACTTAAACCTTTTTGCTGCGCTTTGATAAAGGCTCGACTTTGTATCCACACATCCCTTGTGGAAGAAGCCTGCACATGCCTAGGTTTTTAAGCAGTCAAATAATGAGATCAATTAGTGAAAGGTGTTTTTCATTGCAGAGGATTGTTGTGTTTCATTCCAGTTGATCTCTGAGCAGAGTGCCGAAGGTGTTGTGCAAAGTGAATAAAGATTGTTGTACTTACACTGTCTTGCATTGTCTTGAAGTTCAAATGACAGTTGCTCCCAGTAAAACAGGGTCAATTTATTAAATGTATTGTACACAAAGCCCTACATGAAGGTTTTACCTCATCTTTTTAATGACCTACATCAGATCTGCTGAATCTGTTTTAATCTGTTTCAATTAGGGAATAAGAAGATGTGATGAGATGAACTGGTACAAGTGGACTGAGATGTGTGTCACAGTCACAGAGGCACTGTCTGTATTGGTTTGAGTTTGTAAGTAAGGGAATGGTGTTAAAAGGGCCAATCATGCTCATTTTTGGGTTGATATTTAAACATGCTTAAATGTTCAGAAAGGTTTTTTTGACCAGAACCCAGTCTGCTTATATTGGTCAGCTGGCCGGCTCTGTTGTGATTAGTCAACCGCTTAAAGGTGTAGATGTAGAAAACTAGAAATTTGATAAAATGGCCTCTTTAAAGAGCAGATCAATCATTTTCAGATTCCTCCCTGTGCCCATGGAGACCACACCTTTGATCCAACAGTACAGACATCATGATGAACGCAGCCTCTGACCCCCGTTCACAGCTAATGGTAAACAACCAGCATGCAACCATCATTTTACATTTAGTCAGCAACACACACACACACGCACACATGCACGCAAGAGGCTAAACACATGACTGTGTGTTTTTGTTTGAGTTTGTTGGAGAGTGAGAGGAGTACATTTCCTCCACTTGTCTCACACACACAGACGTACACTCTGTCTCCCTGGTACAGATGAATTACTTCCAACTGTCCCCTGGAGACTTTGATGCCAAATAAGTGACACTAAGAGAGGCTCATAATGGAATGTGTGTTTTGTGTGTGTCACAGTTTGACCACAACATTCTCCAATTCTCCTTAAAAACTCAACTTTGGCCTATATTAATACCCTTGAAAAATGTAACGTTGCTTATTAAACCGACAAAGATATCTCAAGGTTGTAATGAAGGGCTGAGGGGTCAGCACACGGAGCCTCTAGGTGCTGCAGTAGCGCCCCCTAGTGGCAGCTGTAGCAGGTCAAGAGCACAGCTGCCTTGTTGAGAAGAGAGATAAAGATGTGAGCATCATCCATTCTCTGTGAGCGCTGCTTCACAGGGTGCTGGAGCCCCTCCAGCTGACATTAGAAGAGGGTCACAGCAGGGCCATAGCCAAGGACCCTTACCAAATCAAACTTTATTTATATCACTTGTGATATCAATCACAAAATAAGTCATAAAGCCTGTGACCTAAGATTTTCATCGTCATAACTACACTGTAGCTATGTACGTATGACTAATAAAAGCCTTGAACTTGAACCTTTTCAAACATTCCTTTACTGGAACAACCTGACATGCTTATTCTTGAACACTGCTATAGTTTATGTAAAAGAACAAGACCAGACAAATGTCTTAAATACATCAGACCTTTTTTATTTTGAACCATCTCATCACAGAATTCCCATAAATCAATGTGAGAGTAACACTGTGTCATATCAAAATACCAAAGGCACATGGAAAGAAAAAGCCACTTCAGAAATAATAAACTAGAAAGTATTTCATACATAAATATCATGATCATTTAAATTAAAATAGTTTCACCAACCCCTGGAGTGTCACAGAATTGTCTTAAAAATATTAAAGGATATACACATGGTAATAAATACATCAATAATACTTAATGATATTAAATTGAGAAGATACACAGTATAAAAACGTTCACACGGTAATGAGGCAACACAAAATCACCCCCAATATCTGAGCTAGGAGGACTCACAGTAATTATTATTAATTTGTTATTCACTCAGCTGCCAGTTCATTAGCTTCACTAAACCTGTCTGATGTTGATTCTGGTTCCCTGAATTTAACCAACATCATGACTGCTTTTAAATCTTCCACAATTATTTTCTTACACATTAAAAGTGCTGTTAGCAATTTTATTGACTAGTAAACGCAGCATCCTGATTATGGCTGGAGGAGGCAGTTTAGATCAGCTCCTCCATGGTGATGAGAGACATGGTCACCGTCCCCTGTGAGTGGGGCACTGGCTGCCTCTGAGCAGGAAAGTGCTGTCACACACTGCTTCTTTGCAGGTGTAGACGCTGTAACCAAAAAACACAGTCTTCTAAAACACCTGCATTAAACAGCACTTTAGTAAATACAGTCAATCCAAAGAGTTTTCTGGGATTTATTTTGTAACATAACACAATTCAGTCTTTAGTTAAACCCTCGCGCCAGAATATTGTGTACTCATGTAAATGTCCAATTCAGAAGTGCATATTTAATTCAACTTGATAAATGAATAAATCTGTGTATGTGTAGAAAAGCAAAGTGATTTAGGAATCAGTGATCTAATCTAGTCACATGGTCCGGTGTGGTACCATGTCATCTTGTTTTTATCTCATGAAAACATCGTCTTACCTTTCTCACTGGAGCGAGCATGTCTTCTCTTCCTGATCTTTCGGCCCTACACACAACAAAATAAATAAAAATGAAGTATTTGCAGTCTTTCATAAGCTTTTGTTATTGACAGAAACATGTTGGAGGTGTGTACTTACATAATTGTCCCTATTGGACCAGTGAGGATTCTGCTGGGTGTGGAGCCGTTTCTCCTCTTGTGACTGACTGAAGTACTTTTCCTTGTCCTCCTCAGTCATTGCCTTCCACTGTGGACACATAAAAACACACTGTTAGGACACACTAACACACACACACACACTGACACTTCTACAGATAGTGTACAGGCACAAACACAACCATAAAAACATCAGCACACACAAAGCTCTACATTTTTGGTGATGAGACAACAAATGAAAGTCTCTGTAAAAATGTGTGAGTTACAGTTAGAAGACTTTTGACAAGCTGGCCTGTTAAAAATATTTATATTTATCCGACTTAAACATACGGACCAAACACACTTACCCTCTGGCCCAGGATTTCATTCTCAGCCGCTGTGCCTCGCCTCTCGGAGACAACCTCCGCCTTCACGAGGTCTCGCTGCTCCTTCATGTACAGCATGAAAGCATTAAGGGGCTTCCGGACGTACGGGCGGTTGTTGTCCTGCTGTTTGTTATGCCATCTCTTTCTACGGGGAAAAAAAGAGAAAAATAAGAAAGAAATGTTAGTATAAATATAGAACATATGGGTACTGTGTTGTTACATTAAACCCCTTCAAAATACATGTATTATAATTATGTTGATGTAGGCATTTCCTAGATAAATGACTCCTTAAATCAAACAGATAGAGGATTCTGGTTGATAACGAGTATGGCTCATGTATGGCTACAGATCACAACAGTTTAAAAAGAGAGTAAACTTACTTTGAGTTGTAGTTCAGTGAAGGAGCAGCAGGGACGGGAAACTGGAAGTAGGGAGGAGGGACCTCTGTATATAGCACCTGGTACAACTCCTGTCCATTACTACACAAATAAAGGAGGATGGACACACACATTAGATAATAGAAAGAGTGTTTGATGATGATACAAGCAGACTGTCATTGGCACTGTTGTTGTTAGTATTATTGTGTGTGTTACTTACATCATCCCGACATAGCACAAGTGCTGGCCTTCAGGGAGGTTCACCATTGGCACATCAAGGATCTGGGGTCACACACACACACACACACACACACACACACACACACACACACACGCACACACAGGAGAGAGATGAGACAAGCTTCAATGGTGTTGTCAGCCCACTAAGTGGAAGGATTTCCCCTTCAAACACTTCTATCAGAATAGTTTCATATCCAGTCACTCCACTATGACATATTCTCCTTCATTTTGTAGTTTTACTGATCTAATTCTTCTTTGATTCAAAAAAATTCTAGTGAAGTTTTAATTGGAAGAAAATGCAGTTGTGTTTGTCCTGTCCAGCTGTTACTGTTTCAGCATTTCCTTCTCCTACATCCATGCTACTAAATGTGCTGTGTGCTGAAACCAAACAGTGAATATGTTCAGAGTGTGTTACAGGGTCTTACTTGCTGTGGAGCAGCAGCAGGTTCTCTGACAGCCGTCAGGACCTGAGCATTGTTAGCAGGCCACATATACTGAATGTTCTGTGGAGACAGAGAGGGAGGTTACGCAGCCATAATACTTTCTCTATTTTAGTCTGTATTGACAAAGCTGCAACTAAAATTAAAGATTTGTATTATCTATTTATCTGCCTGTCTATTAATCTGCCAGTCTGAATAGATTGACTGACAGTGATAAATATTCTAATGAACCTTTCTGACTAATTGGAATTTTTCCAATTTCATTTAAAGCGTGGTAAGCAGGGTCTTACCAGCTGTGGAGCAGCAGGAGCAGGGCCAGGAGGAGGCAGGGGGTTCAGGACCTCGCCAACACAGGCTTGCAGTGCCTCGAGGAGAGTAGAGAGGAACTCATCTGGACTCATCTCTGCTACTAGTTCCTCCAGCTTGGTCAAATGTTCCATGATGGAGACACTGTCAAAGAAACACGTTATATTATACTAACTCTTTTAGGGTTTTAGTGTTTTCTTCACCACATTTGTGTTACAGTTTGAGTTATTTTGCAGATATGGATTTCTACAACAAAAGCTCTGTAACTATTTATGTTGCAGATTAAAATTCTACACACACAACTTAAACAGTTGAATTTGAAAAGGAAGTGAGTAATATTAACTATAATATGACCAGCTCCAACATTTATATGCTGCTGTCAACTTTATGCACCAGTATCAAATATCATATGACTGGGACAACAAGCAGCACTGTGAGTACTTCTACTTTGTGTACTTTTGGCAAGTTTTACTGATAAACCTCCTACATTTATAAGTACTTTTCGGATTTTTTTTTTTTAACTACTTTCAAATTGATCTACACTGTTGTGTAAACAGCAAACAGGCTTTAGAGAAATATTTAGCTAACGCTAGCCGTGTGAATGTAAGCTAATCATCACAGCTAGCATTAACTTTGGGGGTATTTATCTGTTACTAAATGTACAATTACTTCAGTTCATATTACTTAAAATATAGTAGCTT